TGCACCTGAAGCCAGTCGTGCGGAACATGACGCAAAGGTAATTATTATAAAAGCTACTTGTACTGAGTAGTAAGAAAAAGCCTTTCAAATATAAAAAAACCATTACTATTTCTTTTTAAATTTCAATTCGTTTATAACCACTCTGCAGAGTTGTAGAAAAATCCAAGTTAGGTTTTCAAAATTCAAAAATCTTGACAAAACCTCCAAGGGACAAGAGCGATTTTGGTTTAACTTTCTCACCCAAACAGTTTGAAAAATGAAGACAAAAAGTTTTTCATCCGAAACTGTTTTGTGTTATATACATTGTCCCGGAGCTTCGGGTGGCGCGAAGCGCCAAAAGTGAGGGTGAGCCTATAATTCCCCCCGGCTATTTACACCCGGGGAAACGAAAGCATTAGCGGAGTCTAAAGTTCATCAGTGAGCGCGGGCGTCGGTCACCAACGATGGGTGGTCATCCTCACTGATCTCAAAAATATGGCGGATTGTCATGAATAACGCACACTGATTGGTCCAATTTAAAGTTTGCATTATAACGACTGCATGACGACAGCGAAATAGCAAACATTTCTTGATTTGATGATTGATATTAAAATTTCTTGCAAATATATTTCATTTTTGCTCGTATTTCTGCAAGATTTTGTAAATTTCAAGAAAGAAAGGGCGAAAGAAACAGCTAAAAGAAGGGAGCCGACGTTAACGAAGGTAAGTTTGTTTTAAATATTGATTTAATAATGGCTTTAAAACCCGACGGCGTTTGCGTATATGAAACAACTAAACAAGACAGCATATAAATTTCAGTCGAACTTTAATATTGATTCCCTTTTTTATTATATTGAATTTTTTAAATAAAAAATAAAGCAAAGACCAAAGTTATTTGCAAGCGAGAATTTGAAATCATTTCATTGCAAACTCAAAGTTTATCGATAAAGCCATTTAATAGTTAAAGGCAGTTTAGTTTTATAAAGAACACTTTAAAACGTTTTGTGAATTGTTTGTGGTTGAATTTTACCTTAAATTGAAGCTTGTATTACGTATAATTACATACCTAACATATATATGCTGGGAAATTGATAATTTTGTAATTAAAAGTGATATTTTTAGGCAATTTTCATTTGTAAGAATATTCTTAAAAAATTATCGTGTCACCATGACAACTACTCTAGATACTTCTTGTTCGGAAAATCATAGGGAAAATGCAACGGTTTTGTCAGCAAGGCGAGGGTTTCTGCATGCATGTATTTTCTAGTAGTTTTAATATGTGCTCTCTGATTGTATTGTATTGTATCATTTGTATGATAGTTTGTTGTATGTGTCTTTAAAAGGCCATTAGCTTGTTTGCCCCATCCCTCAAATATTAAGTTAATTGTGAGTCTCTAGTTCTGCCATATTGCAGTAAGCGAGACTTCGCTGTGTGGTTATTTTAATATTTTTATAGTGGAAATTCCTTTCAATTTGCATAGATAACCTGGCTCAGTTTGAGATCTCACTTGAACAAGACAAGATCTCTAAATGTTAGACAAGATAGTTACTAACCTGACTGACTTGGTCAAAATGAAATCAAAAACAACAAAAGTGGTCAGGAAAATAGTGTCAAAACAATAGAGATGCAGAATTTTCCAACAATGCATGAGTCCATGCCACTGTTGTTTAACTGTTAATGAAACTCAGTACCAAGCAACATGTTTGTAAATTAAAGATTCAAAATCATGATTAATTTTGTATTATTTTAATTAAACTTGGTCAAAGAATAATTATCAAATTAA